TTTCAATTCGACATTCCATCCAAACATTCGATTATTCAATCGGAACATTCGCGCAATGTATCATTGGTGATGGCCGTTCAGTATGCATGCGTGTGTGTGTGTGTGTGAGGGAGAAAGCTGATCGAGCACAGAACATTCACTCACTGCTTGGTGATGCGATGTTTAGTCACAGTATGCTGATGTAATATACCCACGGAGCATCGTTCGTTCAGAAATACCCGCGCATTCCAGGATCGAATTGGAATTTGGAAATGTTGGTTTTTGAGGAGAGGGAAAAACCGGACACATTAGTGGGAGGCGAGCGCTCTCACCACTGCGCCGTCCCTGTTCCCTGACAGAGAGATTTCTAGAAGCAAAATACCCACCGCAGCTTCTCAATAAGGGCCCCCGGCATTGTATATGGAACTCGTGTCCCCGTGAATACGGCGTTTATTTGATCCCTGTACATATTGTTTATTAGGACCCACAGTTTCAGCGACACAGTATAACATGATAGCAAGAGTTTTTATTCATATCCTTGACAGCCATACTACATCTTGCCATTACATCTAAACGTTATTATATCTCAGTGGTATAAACGCTTGAGGGGTTATTTACAACTCTACTGACCTTGGTAACCCAGGAGTTTAATCGATAGAATGTGATTTGTTTAGTTGCGTCCCTTTGAACGAATAAATTAAAACAGAAATCAATTACAAAGAAGGTAATTTTAGAAAATTTATTTGCTTTTCTAAAAAAGCACAAAAATAACAAACAAAATAGAAAAATGACAAATATTAACCTCACAACATTTCTTTTTTGTAATCATTTCTATTCCTTGTTTTATATTTTAGTTGGTCACGTACAATAACTAATCAAGTTTTCATTCTTACGTTTTTACTTTCAGTTATTGTAAGCGCGTTGCGAATTTTAAATGCAATGCGCTAATAAGACCATTATTATAATATATTATTATTATTATTTTACTATTATTATTATTGCCAGAGAGTTTGTGTTTTCAGGTGTAGCTAAAGGCAAATATAATAACTTCTGCCGTATGGGGTGTCTGGAAGAACTACATTCCTAAAAAAAAAAAAAAACTCAATTTACCCCTTTCATTACTGACCAGTTTTACGTTTTTAATAAAATTTACTGCGTGTGTGGAAATGCAAGCAGTAACGTTCGTTACATTTGCGTTCGGTACCCTTTCTCCCCTACCCTCGCAGGCTGAAATACACGCCCAATAAGGGTGGAAGTTTCCAACTTTCACAAGAGGATCCCTCTTGGTCCAATACTAATGATAGGCGGTTTACAGATAACGTAATGGGAGAGGTGGAGGAGGGGATGGAGGGAAGTTGGTGAAGCAGAAAAAATAAAATTTGTTTTACTTTCTGTCACAACATGGCTTAGTAATGTTCAAAATTCTCGTGGGGTTGAACAACTTTCCATTTATTTGGTGCTCACGACACTCCAAGGGCGGTAGTTTCTGAGGTAGTAAGACACCTTGAAGTTAAAGACCCGAGAGAGCGAGCAGTGTTTAACTGGCAGTAGAGCTAGTGTAACCAGCCCTACCCCAAGCAAGATCACAGTCATATTAATCTTAACACCAACAGATGAACCCCTTTACATTTATGTCAGCCGGTTCTGTCTTTGTCGGAATTGGCGAAATAGCTTTGTCTAGCCTCTATGCAGATGCTGAACCCTACCCGGAATCTGTTCTCACAAACCCGCTTTAATATCAGAGTGCCGTTTATTTTCGCATACCAAGTAAGAGTTGTGCTTATCTGGGATAAATACCGTGACACAACTGAATTAACAACTGGAGATTTCCCCATTGAAACAGGACATCAAAATTGCCTGTCAATAATTTCAACAAAATTGCAAACTATTATTTCAGTTAGGTTTAAAGAGCGTTTCAATTAGATATTTGCTTTCCTCTGTTGACACAACGTTTTATAAAGGCACGGGCAAATCGCTGATTGAATTTGTCGATTCCAAACGTCCTGGTTTAATCGGTGGCAAATCTCTTTTTCTCTCCGAAGACCCGGAAAATTAATCATGACAAAAAATTTTCTTTTCTTCATTTTCTTGGGTAAGTGAATCACGCTTGATTTTATTGTTGTTGATGGGAAAGATTCTTAAACGAAAGCTAGCCTTAACGTAATCGTTCGTGGAGGTTTCAAGACTTTTAAGGTCCGAATGACTGAAGAAACAGAGGCCAAAGTACTCAGATCTAGACTAAACGAATAACAAAACTAAGTGCAAGGAAAGGTAAACTCACGCACGACTAGCTAATTTAACTGTTAAGTAGTAGTCAAATGTAGCAATGCAACAGTCGAATTCGGGATTCCAAAACGCAGTTTAACGGGAAAAAATTCCATTTTCTAGGGTAAGTGAATCAGAGTTGATTTTTCATGACATTTTTTTTTTCTTAGTTAATAATGTAGCGTGAATATTTCACAATGATTCATGGGTTAAAGATGCCAGTAAAAAAAGAGAAATCCAGAGAAATATGGTGTTCTTGTCGTCTTGATTTCCTTTTCGGCAAGGCAAGTCGAAAAACTGAACCTGAAGAAAGAGAAGCGGTTATGAAAAAGCCCTGCATGGGACAAAAAATGCTGTCGAAATATTTCATTATTCGCCAATTTGCCTTGAAAACTACAATGCTGTTGAAGACAGCCCGGTCCACATCAGTCCGTAACAGTGAGCAAGGTGAAACTAAATTCTTTATTCGTTATTTTTACGGTTTTACTTATTACTGCACAGTCAAATTGTAATTTTCTTTAAAATATTGGGCGCTTCCTTCAACCAAAAATCGAAGAACTTTCCTAATGGGGGCAAATAAATGTTGCGGATATTTCCTGGACGAAAATTAAATGGAACGGATATTCCCTGTGCGAAATTTCCGAAAATTTGAGTATACCTCGTGTTGTTTTTCATCTTTTGCGGAAATTTCGGAAAATGATCTTACTGGAAATTTCCGGAAATTCAAATCAGAATTTTTGGTCAAAATGGAAACCACTTTTTTGTATCAGGGCAATCTTAGATCACCAAGTGTATATTGTACACTTGATCTTTGATCTCGAGGTTAATTTTGTGTTCCCGAGAATCTAGATCTCCATGCTTCTTGGGAGGAATTCGAAGGAAACTTCGAGTTTCGAAGGGAAAAAAAATTCAACTGTTTCCCGAAGAGCAGTGATTAAGTTTATTGTTATATAGCTGGGGTTTAGTGTAAAGTAATAAGGCAAGAAGAAGTCAAAGTAACCACTGGATCATGGGTAGTGGGGGAGCGAGCGACAGTTACGTAATTGTTGCCCGGCGGACAACATTTAGATTAAGCTATTACCACTTGACCATAACAACATAAATTAATTATTATTTGCAGCATTGATATGCAAAGGCTCCACTCGAGTTCTCAATGAGGGTATACCGGCGGATGAAGGCTCCAGTCTTGCACACGATGAAGGCCCAAGTCTTGCAGATGATGAAGGCTCCAGTCCTGCACATGATGAAGGCTCCAGTCTTGCAGATGAAGGCTCCAGTATATCGGCGGATGAAGGCTCCAGTCTTGCACATGATGAAGTCTCATCTCTTGAGGACGAAGGCTCCAGCGCCGAGCAAAAGAGATCCAACCTCTTATACTGACAGATTCTCCGCCGATGCCGATGATGAATCAGGCTGCCATTTAGATACAGATATTAGCTCAGATAGTTTATGAGTCGATTGGGGTCTGAAGGTAATTGCAAAGGGAAATAAATACGAATAAACAATGAGAAACATGCGGTGGATCAAATTATTGGGAAAGCCCCGATTTAAATGTATTAATGCAATTCATAATAATCTTCAGTTAGTGGAATGCTGCGTCGATCCCAAAATAGACATTCCTTTGTTTGCTGAATGAGGTGAAGGTAAACATCTGAAAATTAAAATGTCCTCTGCGTCTCGGGTTTAAAAAGAGCTTTCTTCCAAAATATTTATGGCGAAAAACACTCATGTTTTTATGTGACGCAAATAAATAAAAACAAAACCATGCAATTATATGTATGTTGCATCAAGTCCCGTTTCAAACATGGCGCTTTCATCGGGTGTCAAACAACTCTGTTAAACCTCCAAACTCCAAACGTTTACCGCGGCCGACTGGAGGAGAACGTGTCACGTGTCCTTCAAAACTCACTTACTCTCAAGGGCGAACAAAACTCACTAACTCCTTAGGGGAAATTAAAACAACAAATCGAATTTACGACTCGCACGTGATCTGGCCGTGCACCCTGAAACAAGGGCAAATTTTCGCTAGTTGCCAGTCGGCGTCAAGGAAATAATTTTGTCGCGGTTTATTCTACTTTTAGCTTGGAGGTAATAACGAAACACTTAAAGACTGGCCTCACGAGAAACAGTGAGTTTTGTTTTCCCTCGACCCCAATGTTCTCCACGGCATTCAGGGTCGAGAGGAAACAAAACTCATTGTTTTTCTTAGGGCCAGTCATTAAGTGCTTAATAGAAATCATCAAATATATGGAGTTGGCCCTCAGCGCGTCTTTACATACTTGTAATACAACAAATGCTGCGCGAAAAGTTGAAAGAGGGGTTGATTACTCGGTCTTTAGGCAGAATTCGAACCCGGGACCTCTGGAATAGATCACCATTGATCACCATTGCCCTTTGCTCATGAATTAAACTGTCGTCTCACAACATCAGAGAGTATCGAAAGCTAGTTCTCAGTCTTCCTATTTGGACGTTTTCTGAACTAGCTCGTGTACTTGGATCAGTTCAGAGAATCGAGCCGAGCCAAAGATAAACTCCAGGGGATTGGGGACAAGGCTACAGTCAGTCTTCCTCGCCCTTTTGCGATCTACTTGGCTCGATTACCAACCGCTGTTCGGGAAAGGAGCCCGCGCTCCTCTCCCGAAGGCGCGATCTGGGTAAAACGGTGCTCTAGTGGCAGTCGCGAAACGTTTTTACTGTTGAAATGTAAATAAGGAATGTATACAGTCGTATGATACAAGGATGAACGAAGACTTACATGATTAAGTGAGTTCAACTTTATTGAAGCATCACAAGTTTTAAGTCATGTTTCTCCGTTTGGTGACTTGGCTTAGCTTACACTCTTCTTCTTTAAAGGACAGTCAAACTACGTTGATTATCAAAACCACTCATGAAAGAGGCATACCACTATTCTCTTCCTCAAATCTACTATTACAAAACTAACCCCACGGCAAGGGCCATAAGAAAACCAGCAAGACTGTGGAAAACTACTCCGCTGGCGTGCGATTTGGCCGGCATGGTTGGTTGCTGGGAAGCTTTTGCTGTGGCATAGTCAGAGTTGCATTTGTCTGACTGACAGCTGGCCATCTTGGAGCAAACTCTGTTTTCAAAACCCTTGCATGGATCGTCATTGCAGTCTTCATATAAGCAGCAGCCTGTGTCACCAAAAAAAACTGTAAGACGCCGATTTATGTTGGTCAACGCAATGCATTCTTGGGAACACCCCGAGACAACAATCTTGTAGATTTTCTTGTGGTTTTGTGGCTTAGTGTTCTAAAAAAAAGTAATTTACAGTATTCTATTTCATTTGGGAGGGAGGGAGGTGCGTTTTTTACCCAAGCATTTTGGGCCGTGTAATATAATTATATAACTCCTATTAAGCAAAGTTGCTCTGGACCTAAGTGGGAAAATACGGTTCGTAGTGTCAAGCTTTGATTGTGTAGTTATTAGTAACTTAGTAATTTAAGTAATTGTTCCTGAAAAGCCCCATTGGGGAGGTAACAATAAAGTATGTATGTATGTATATAAGGTTGGCTCCAGGCTAAGTAAACAAAGTAGTTCTTAGGATGGTCATAAGTTCTCTCCTAAGCCATTTTTTTAAGTCTCCTGTTTGGTACGAGGTGATGAAACTGTCCCCTAAACAAGTTAAACTTCAATAATTCCCTGTAAAAAAGAGCCACCCTGAAATAGCACGTCTTGAAAGAGCAGCCCTCTTGGAAGAACACGTCAATTTTTTCAAGTTTGCCACCCATAATCTGTGTTTATATTCCCTTAATATAATGACTTGTCCACATGGTGTTTTGCTCCTAAACTCATGTCCCTCCTCTAGTCCTTGTGGCGGAGTTTTGAGGGTAGAAAAAGGCTCTGATGAGATGCTTTTACTTACTTTTAAACTCGAGGACGCGATCCAGTGAGGTGTAGTTAACTGTGTACACTCGACAGGCGTACACAAAATTTGGCTGCGAGGGGTCGTCACACTCCACTGTCGCTGAGCCCGCGGATTTACAGCTTGGTGCTACTCCACCGCATCGATAACAAGTGATCGACCATGCTAAAAGAAAAATCAATCTAATTAGAGTCTAGTTAGAAGCCCTTATACGCCAACTGGCTGGCCTCCCACCAGTTGGGATTCTTACTCATGTTCTATTGCAGTATTTGTTTATATTTGTTTACTGGCTTTCACTGGGGCATAGTCATAAGCTCAAGCAACATACGTAGACGGTATAAGATGTTGATAACGAGCACCTTTTATCAGGGAAATTTCTTAGCAAAAGAAGCTTCCTAACACCACCTTAAAATGTCTTCGTATGTTCCGTATGCTTATGCGCATGCGTATGCGCTAGTGAAAATCAGTCTTGGCAGTGTCCCTAAGTTCATTTGACACTTAGTGATGGACCATGAAAGTTTTAGAAAAATAATGGTCCGTCCGTGAAATAATTCGCAGATTATATATTGAACGAGGTTGACCAAAACATCGTGATTTGCCGGAGCCAAAGACTGAGGCGAAAATAATTGATCTGCGAGATACTGATCAATCATAATATGTTTAGATAACCGAGTTCAATAACTGTTTTATCATTCGATCACCTAGTTTGTTTTCATACAAATCACTCTCTGACAGCTCAAGGAAGCGATCTGCTATGCATTGCTCAGCACGGTTACAGTTACGCATGAGTAGAATATTATTTGCAGTCAAATACATTTAGAAAATTTAGAGAGAAAAATTGATTCTAAGGGACTCAAGACTGAAGGAGAAAATGCACGAACAAAGTTATTAGTTTCTTAAGAAAATGATGGGCTGCATCGGTAGGCAAGTCAAACACTATTTTGGCTGTTAGCAATCACCTGAAGCTGACCTGTTTCGAGTCATTTTAACGGCAGAATGGGGGATATGAGGTAAGTTGTGTTTACTTTATTGGAAGCCGTGGAGTAACAAACAGTGCATAAATAAATGACTACAATCATGGACAAAAGTGTTGACAAATTTGAGCAAAACAAACGCTTTCTTTTGGCGTCCTTCGGTAATTGAAAAAAAACATCTTTTTTGTCGATAGCCAAACCCCCCTCTCCCCCTTTTCAATGTTGAAATACGCTCCGTGGACACTGTCATGTGGTTACAACAATGAACAGGTGAGAGGGGGTCGAAACGTGAAAATTGGAGATTGAAAAACTCATGTGTTCAACGAAACAGGTTTTTTTCGGGGAGTGTCTCAACTGCTTTTGTCCATGATTGTAGCTAAGGTGCTGAGCAGGCCAACACTTATCTCATTATATAAACGTAGCAAGAATCTGGAAAAAAAAATGAGTTAAACGTTTTTTTGACATCACAACACTGTCAACGTCTCAGGCCCGAACGCTCAATCAAAGTCACCGATCGCTTCGATTGTGTATCTTCCAATGTAATCTAGTGTATAACTTCCACTCTGTGTTGTTTTCTGAGACCACTCTGGATCCGTTCTGAGCTCGCTCTTGGTCGAGGTAAGAACTATGAACGTCTCCTGACTTCATTAGCTTTTATTAACATTCGATGCATTGCACTTTTTCTTCCTTTTCATATTGGCCGAGAACCTACCACATGACCTACAAATAACCACCTACAAATACTGGGCTGCTCATGCGTAGCACCGTCTAAATGTGTTTGGCTGCAAATAATATTCTGCTCATGCGTAATTGTAGCCCCCATGATCTCTGGTGAAAAATGGCAGATTGCTCCTCTGAGCTGTTAGAGAGTGATTTAAATAAGAAAACAAATTTGATGATCGAATGATTAAACGATTTTTGAACTCGGTTATTTAAAAAAAAAGATCAATTATTTGCCTCAAATAATTGATCTGCTCTCCACTGACAAATCATGATATTTAGCTCAACCTCGTCCAATAATTGCCACCTATTCATTGCACAATGCTATTAAGGACGTTCGCGCGAAAATTTTCCAACATTGATTTTTTTTTTAGATTTTTACTACTGTAGGATGATGAGTTAGTTATGTCAGAAATGTAACAAAAAATGGAGGGTCACCGACTTCGTTTTGGAGAGAACATGCCCGGAAGAACACCCTAAATCTGAAAAAATCGGGCTTCATTAGCGAATAAGGCCACAGTGTCTGTAAGCCAAAAATATTGTATTTAGATCTTTGAAATGAAATGTTCTCTGCCAAATATTGTTTGAGTGGACCTATTAAATAAATTTAGCCAACTCGTGAGGTTCCTTAAAGAACAAGTTCGCATTTAGCGACCATATAGTTTCACGCGCTTGGCAGCAGCAAGATGGCAGGATTCGATGTCCCGTGGACAGAAATCTTGAATTTTTTTTAACTTCCCACATTGATGTTTTGTTCATTTTTGGACAATGTGGAGATAATTGTAAATAAAATATGTTTCTGGAAAGAAAAGTAGGGGTCACCAGACGTCCAAGATCGTTAAATCCAGGCAAAGCTATAGCAATGGTCATCTGCCCTATCACTGTTCGTTTTATTACTTAGCCCGCGCTCTCATGCGTGAAGTGGCGCGTGAATTTGCGTGCGTAGTAAGGATGCGCAGAAACAATTAGCACAAACGTCCTTAAATTGGAATTTGATCTTTCGTTTTTATAGGCTTTCCTGTCGAACAGTTTGAGTTTTTCCAAATCTGTAATATCGACAAACCTTTGCTAAAATTGCCATAGTTTCAGTGTTATTTTGCCAAATTATGTGATGTTTTTATCCAAGGTACCGATATAACAAGTGCTGTCATGCAAATTCCCGTCGACTTCAGTTTGGCAAGCTGCGATCACGTTTTACCAAGCTGCCTATTGCGAGAATCCTGCAAAACCGAGCAGTAAATCTGGATCCTTTTTAATTTTAACTTAGGGTTGGAGGACATTTTAACCAAGAAAAGCCAGAAAATGACAACTATCTTAAAACGAAGCAAGTTATAAATAATGCAAGAAAGTAGTTATGGAAAGTTTACTTAAGTGTCGTTTAATGTTTCTTAAATGAGCAGTATTGTTCAAGCTGTATTTTATCAGCTGGCCTTTATCACTGAGGTGACTCAACGGAAGACCAACAACTGCAATGTAGAATAGGTGAAGTCTTTTAATGGCGACCAGAACTGCCGGGTTATACAATGAAAAGAAATGTCGCCAAGGTTGAGATGTATGGGCTATTTCTAATCAACTTTTGAGCCGAAAAAAACAAAAGAATTCAAACTAAGACTTTTCAGTAAATGGACGCATAGCTTGTTTGAAAGATTTTTATCCCCTGGTAGTTCTGTTACGCCTCCTGTTCTGCAGGCGAAGCCGGCGTGAAGAGTTACATTTGATTCACTGAAGCCAGCAAATCGATCGATTGTTTCTGAAATAAAACTGGGAACAAAGAAATATCAAAGAAAACTCAAAGAGTTTTATCTTCTGCGAGTCCTAGCTTCTGTGAGTTCGTACGCTAGAGCAGTTCAGAAACATTTTTACTCAGTTCAAGTGTGTGCGACCGTGTGAAATATAACAAATCGTACCATTAGGCATCAGCCGAGAGATTTTTCCACGACACTAAATCATCATTAGACGTTTATAAGCCCTAAAATACACTCCAGCGATATATAAATTAGAATAACGCCGTCTAAGCCAGAAAGGGAGTCGTTCTGTTTCTGAAATACCATTGCTAAAGAAAGGAGTCACATCAGTTTAATCAGTATCCGATATTGTAAGCAATAAAGACCGAACTTACCTACTGCGAATAAAGAAACGGCAATCAGTACTGCAAATAGAACCTTCATTGTCAATTGAATCCTTTCGTGGAGTTGGTCTGGGCAGAAGATCAGAGCTAACAGACACCGCGGAAATACGTTTTTTGGGGCGCGATACAGTATTTTGCTGGTCAGCGGTACACCTTAAC